GGGGCTACCAGGGGTCCTCAAACTTTTTAAACAGGGGGCCACTGTCCCTCAGACCATTGGAAGGTGGACTAGGGGCCCCAGGACAAGTAGGCTGCTAAGCAGGACAGGCAGCAGCGGCAAAAACACCCTGTGGGCCGGATAAATATCCTAGGTGGGCCTCATGTGACCCGTGGGCCGTAGTTTGAGGACGCCTGGGCTACACCATTCTACACTCCCACCAACAGTGCACAAGGGTTCCAGTTTCTTTCTGTCCTCACCAACACTTGTTATTTTCCATTTTCTTTTTTTTTGAGAGTGGCCATTCTATTGGGTGTGAGGTGGTAGTAATCTTCCTTTTTAAAAATTCTCAGTGCTCAGTGGCTAAGGTGGCCCCTGGGAATAGATGCTGAGGAGCACATGCTTGTGGGGCCCGGGACCTATCATTTGTTAAGAATTATTGAGAAGATTTCCTGCTTTCAAAAAGTGGTTTTTCAGATTTGCAAAGAAGTTATTCATTAGAGGGGACAGACAGCTAATGCTGTCAAAGCACCACTCACCCAAGCTAAAGGCACAACCAGAGGTATCAGAGCAGTTCTGATCATGGGTGGTAGGAAGCTCAGCAGACCGGGAGGGTCACACAGAGACTTGGCTCTGTCTGGTGAAGTCACTTCCCAGTTCTCGGCTTCTTTAAAATGAGTGTTGGAACAACAACTCAATCAGGGTCTTTCCAGCTTCAAAATTCTTGGATTCTGTGTAATAACCTTGACTTTACTCATTGAAAAGGGGGAGGGATACATTGCTCTGGAGGACAAGAGCCGCACCCAGAGCTGCATAGCAGTTAGTTGTAATTAATAAGGCCGTCCCTCCTGCCACTGAGCACTAAGGAGTGCAGAGCAGTTAGTGCTGGGACTGGGCCATTCTGGGCCACTGTGCTCATGTCGCAGAGTTAGGAGCTTTCTCTTTCGTCTGAGTAAAAAATATAAAGAGTAATTTTTAGCTGCACTGTCCTGGGTTCAAGGTCTCACTGCTGGCGTGGGGGTGGCCTCATCATTCAGTGACAAGCACAGCTCACATGGAAGGGTGACGAAGTTGGGGGAAGCCATGGGGGATGGGAGAGGGGGCTTGACAGAAGTCGCTTTAAAGTGTGAAGACCCAGTGTCGGGGTGGTGGCATGACTTCCCAGCCCTGTGATGGGGCACTTCCTCCCTTGCACTCGAGCTCATCCCCTGGGATTCTCATCTGAAAGGCCTTGCACCTCCAGGGCTGTCTGGGAGGCAGCATGATGGCGGGCATGAAGGAGAATTGTACACAGGTGCTGTTAGCACTGCTTGCTCAGTGCTGTAGAGTTAGGGCTTTGCCTAAAATTTAAAATTTAGAGGCCACCCACATATGGCCTCTAAAATAGCTAAGTGTGTGATTCAGGGTGAGGTGCTGTCTATAAAATGGTTCACTGTAAGAAGCATTGCGGTTATGAATAATTATGGTCTATATTGTACATCTTTTCAAGAACCATCCTTCCCCTCTTTGGTGTGAAGTTAGTTAAACCTGCACCACTAGCAAACTTAGAAAAATGCGTGTCGATATTTTTATGTATATGTTACTTGTGTTCACAGGGCTGGTCAGGGTGGAGCTGGATGGCTCCGGCAGTTACTTCTTTTGAAATGGTAGGCAGGACTGTGTTCACCTCTGAGTGTGTTCGCTGCAGGCTCCACTCTTGGCTGGGTTGAGAGAGGAAGTGTATCAATCCAGAGAGCTCCGTTTAAAATTGGAAAGGGAGGCAGTTGTCACTCTTTGTTATAAGTATCTTTCATCACATTTAGCTCTCTGGCCTGTTTCAAATTAGAATTAAATTAGCTTCTACTGGGAGGGTGAAAAATAAAATTAGCTTATACTTGCCCTGGGTGTCCTACTTGCCCCGTGTGCTGAGTGTTTGTCCTCTTGGGAACCTCGCTTTCCTCTCTCGTAAAGGGGAATATTGACCTTACTTCTCATTTTGTAGGGGTTGAGGTAAGGTTGACAAAAGGTATATTTTGTTTCTTTAACTTAAAAGGACAAGGCTTGCTCCTTAGTCTCAGGGAGGATATAGCTTATAAAGAAAAAGCAAACACATGACCTTTGCCACTCTCATATGACGCTTCTGGCACCGCGTGTGTGAGTCTGTCCACACCAAGCAATCCTCCAGTTCTCTGCAGGCACCAACTGGCACCAGGGACCAGTTTCATGGAAGATAGTTTTTCTATGGACCAGGGAGGAGGGAGGATGGTTTTGATATGAGTCTGGAAGCAACTGATTTAGTACAGTCTCTGTGCAAACCTCTCTGCTAGTGACAAGCTGTATGAGCAGCCACTACCCAGTGCTCATCATCACCACCTCAGCTGCACCTCAGAATCTCATAAGGAGCGTGCAGCATAGATGGCTTGAATGTGCAACTTACAGTAGGGGTCCTGCTCCTCTGAGCATCTGATGCTGCTGCTGAGCTGAGGGGAGGCGGAGCTCAGGCGCTGGTGCCAGTGATGGGGAGCAGCTGCAAAGATGGATGAGTCTTCTCTTGGGTGGCCTGCCACTTCCTGCTGTGCAGCCTGGTTCCTAACCGGCCACAGTGTAAAGGCTACTACTCAGGAACCTCAAAATGGAAGGGTGCCTTGGGCAAGGCGATGGGGGCAGGGCAGGGCAGGGCGTGGGCAGCTCTCCCTGGGGGTGCTGCCCTCCAACGCCCCCTCCAGCTCTCTGAGCCCCTTCCTTTAGGGCTGATAGGGAGGTTCCATTACAGAGGCAAGATTGATTAAATCATTAGCCATTGGTGATTAAGCTTCATCTCTCTCCTTCTCCCCTCCCTGGAGGTGACGGTGGGGGGATGGGCTGAAACTGCCAACCCTTTAATCATAGCTTTATTCCTCTGGCTGCCACTCTCTGTCCTCTAAGATCGAGGTCATCAGCATAAACTAAGGTGTGGTTGAAAGGGGCTTATTGTGGATGACAAAGGATGCTTCTTTCATCTGTATTACCCCAGTGTTAAGGAGCTGAACGTGTTTCAGGAGCAGGAGACAAAACCCAGATATGGGTTTAGGGGCGCTGGCTGGGACCCGGGGATGCAGACCAATATATATATATTTCTTATTATGTCCTAATGTCCCAGCTTCACTGAATGACAGGAAAGCTTTATGGGAACAACAGCAGAGCTGCAACTTTCCCGGAACCAACCAGTCTGTACAGCAGGGTGGCAGCCACACACATACAAGGCTGTGGCCATGTCTGGAGTCACTGCAGGTGACTCCCTGGGGTAGTTGCCTTGAGGAAAGAGTCATAGTAGTGTGGACCAGGAGAAAGGGTATGATCTTGGGATCAGCTGGAGGTTACACTGTGCAAACCCCTCGTGTTGAGGTGGGATTTAAGCCATGTAGCTTCACGGCCCCACCAAAGCATCAGGTGAAACAGGAGAGAGGAGAGTCTGGAATTTAGTCCCAAAGTTTAAGAAGAGGTCTCAAAGTTTAAGTGAGATCTGGGTAAGAAGGGGCCCTGGAGAGATGACAGACCACTGGGCAGTGCCATGTCCCTGAAGGAGGCCAGATGTGGCATGGCCTGCTGAGGCAGAGTGATGGGGGTGGACAGAGGAAGGCCAAAGTGTGTGGTCAGTCCAGGGCTGGGACGTGCATGCTGTGGGCAGCCGAGGTCCCAGTCAAGAACGGGAGCTGGCACGTCAGGGCATGGTGATGGCATGCGGCAGGCATGGAGGGTGGGCCAGCAGCAGCACGCTGGTGATGTCCCGGGACCAATGGGGCAGAGGCCAGAGCACAGGGGCAGCTAGGACTCCTACTATCTTGAACCCAGGGAGTCTCTTGGCTTGTCCCCCCTCTGCTGCTTCTGTCACCATCTCCTACTGGGGGGCATCACTTCTCATCTGCACTGTCACCAGCAGCGCCCTGTAGCTTCCTGCTGTCAGCCGCTTTTCTTGCCAGTCCTCCTGATGCTTTTTCTACAACATAGACCCAAGTGTCATTTTGTTCTAGAATCTGGTGGTTCCACACAGCAGAGCCCGACCCCTCTGGCCTGGTCTCCCACTCTCTGTCCATCGTGCATGTCCTCTGTTCCAGGCACAGCTTCCAGCCTAGTGATTTCAAGCTTCTGTGCCTTTCGTATCCCTCTCCCTCCCCTGCAGCACCTTGGCCACCTTCTTAGCTGAAAGCGTCTGTCCTCCTGCAAGCCTCTGGCGAGGGCCAGACCCTCCGAGATGCCTTCTCTCTCTTCCCAGTCGTAACTCCCTCTGCATTCACTTAAAACAAGCGCAGCAGCACTGATGCCGGTTCTAGTCACTGGGAGCGACTTCTCCCTCCTTTGTGAGCCCCTGTGTCCCTTTTAGCGGCAGGGACTTTGTTTTATCTTTGTGTTGCAGTGCTAGACCTGGTAGGGGAGCGGCCCTGACTGTTGCTGGTGGCACAGCGTGGTGGCAGAGCTCCCATGCATCCTGCAGCCACAGCAGGAGAGGTCTGGGGCGGGCGGGGGCCATGATCAACATCATTGCCAATAAAAATGGTTCTACACTTCTTGTGTAAACATTGATTATTTTCCTCAGCTGCCATTAGTAGCTGCTCTGTGTGGCCCTGGGGGGTACTAAGCTGTGTGACAAGCAGTCTCCTTCTCAAGAGTCATGAGAGTTTGTGTGCAAAGCCTGCATGGGATGACAGAATGAGGTGCAGGTGGCCACAGTCCTAAGAACCATATGTGGAGGTTCATGGGACATGGGAAGACAGGCCCCAGTGACAGCTGAGATCAGACATCTTGGGGGCAGAGGTCTGCTGGAACTTGGGAGGGCAGAGAGTGGTGGGTGCGCTGATGGGGGCGGGGGCTGTGGGCTGTGGGGGTGGGTGTTGTAGAGCACATTCCAGAAACCAAGTGATCTGAGTCGAGCGTGAAAGCCGAGTGTGTAATCTGTTTTGGAAACAGTGAGGAGTTCCTTTTGATTGGCTCTTGATGGCTTCCCCCAAATTAACCGTGTGTGTGTGTTGTTTGTTTCTGTTTTCTAGGCTCAGACCATGAACTACGTGGGGCAGCTGGCCGGCCAGGTCTTCGTCACGGTGAAGGAGCTCTACAAGGGGCTGAACCCGGCCACACTATCCGGATGCATTGACATCATTGTCGTCCGCCAGCCCAATGGCAATCTCCAGTGCTCCCCTTTCCACGTCCGCTTCGGGAAGATGGGGGTCCTGCGCTCTCGGGAGAAAGTGGTAAGAGCGCGGGACCTGGTGACCTGGCGTGATAGCGGTCCCCTTGGAGAAAACCATCAGATTCTTGTGGTGTCACTTGTCTATCAGACCCAGATTTTTAGGTCTTTGTTGGAAATGGCTGTTTGCTGAATTGACCATTAGCAATTCAAATTGTTCTGGTTAGTAAGGCCATATAAATTACCCTCAAAAGTGGCATATGCCAACTGTTTCTCAAGCTCCTGGGTTCTGAGGGTCAGGAATTCAGAGTACAGCTAGGATGGTTGTCTCTGCTTTCTTTGCCACTGGGGCCTCAGCCGGAGGGGGGGCGGATACTCAAAGGCTGGGGATGGAGTCATCTGGGTCCCTGCTATCTCCCACACCTGGTAGTCAATTCTGGCCCTCCACTGGGCTCTTCACTGGGGCTGTTGGCTGCACCACCCACATGTGGCCTCTTTATGTGGCCTGGGCTCCCCACAACATGGCAGTGGTTTCAAGTGGGAGCCAGGTGGGTGCCGGATCTTTTTCTGTCCCAGCCTTAATAAGCCACCCAGTCTCACTCTGCTTGGGCTTTATGGGTCAGTCATGTGGTCACATGGGGAGATGGAATAAATGAGCCTTTCTCAATGGAGAGTGATGAGGTTTAAGAGAACACAGAGGAAAAGAAATCTCGACGTGGTCATTTTTGGAAAAGATAATCTGCCACAAAATAAATAAAAAAACTCCTAGAAGTAGATTCTATGTTTCATGCCTCTACAGAATCTGGAGTGCTGTCTCATGATGGGTCCTTTGAGTTTAGTTCAAGTGCAAGCTCTATGCTGAGAGGCTCTCAAAGGCCCCAGTCAGTCACTGAGGAATTTTCCAAGGTGTTATCCCTACAGACTGGAGCTGGAGAGTCAGTGACTATAGTCTGAACTGTACCTCTCACCAGTTCCGTGACCCTGTGCCCATCACTCCCCATGTCTGGCCTCAGCCCCTCAGCCGGAAAAGGAGGAGCTGGACCAGGTGGTCTCGGAGGAGCCTTCCCACTCTGGATTCTGTCCCCCATGCTCTCCTGAGCCAAGAGTCCCCACAGCACCCAGGATGGGACGGAGTGTCAGTGATTCAGTGTGTCTGGAGACACCTGGCCATGCCCCATGAGGTCTCCTGTTGCCAGGAAGGCAGGTTATTATTTTCTTAACCATGTTTTTCCTTCAGGTTGACATAGAAATCAACGGGGAATCTGTGGATTTGCACATGAAATTAGGAGACAATGGAGAAGCGTTTTTTGTTCAAGAAACTGATAACGATCAGGTAAGG